GAGAGCCCCCCCCCCCCGCACCAGTGCACAGCCCTTCCTGCCCGGGCACGGAGCCCCTGGGCCCACGCTCCCTACTCTGCTTCTGCCTTGGTGTGTGTGGCAGCACCCAAGCAATGTCATTTCACTTTAAAACATCCCCAAGGAAGTGACCTTTGTCCCTCAGAGATCGTTTCCAGAGACAATTTGATAAGGGCCTTGGCAGCCCTGGGTTTTATGGCCTCCCTGGGTGCAGGGCAAGCCCCTCACACCTCTGCTCCTACATCACACCTGGTTCTCGGCACCTTGGCCTGGGTCAAGGGCCTCCATGTCCCATGGTAGCCATGGGCAGGAGGAAAGAGAGGGAAGCCAGGGTGTGTCCTGTTGGAACATCAGGCAGCCTAGGCCTCTGCACCAACCCGTTTCTGTGCTGGGAGCTAGGCCTTGGCTGCTGGGCTGTCATGGAATGAGGGGTGAGGCCAGGGGCCGGGTCGAAGGGCACCCAGCCTTCCAAGTGTGTTATGTTATCTGTGGGCTGTGGCAGGTCTGTGGCCCAGGAGTCAGAGATCTGGGGGTGTGTGGAAGCCAGAAGGAAATGCCATAAGCCGCTCCTCTCCTGATTGCTGGGTCTCCAGGGGCCACATGCCAACGGGGAGAGTCAAGGTCAGGGGCACGCAGGGTGGCCCCTTTGCTGACCTCCATGCCCCACTTCCAGATCCAGGTCTAGCCATGGTCATGCAGGACTCTGTCTTTTGCACAACTCCTGGGCCACTGGTCTTACCTGACACTGCCCCTCCTAAGTGCGCCCCGGATCCCACAGACCGCATTTCATTGAAGGAGCCACTCAGCCCCCACCAGGTCTAACTTCGCTGGCTCCCAGCTGCCTGGAGTTGGGGGTTTTGAGGGGACATTCATTCACTCAGAGTGCTGGGTCGCCTGTGGTATGGAGTTGCTGCTGGGTAGAAATTAACAAACAAAATAGATACAAGGGCTGGCTGGTAGCTTGGTGGTAAAGTAAATGCCAGGCATTTGTGAGGCCCTGGGTTTCATCTTCAACACCATAAAACAAACCTCCAAACAAATGGATATGTGCACCCCTGCCCTCAAGCTGGCAGCCCAGATGTGCAGGGTGGCAGAGGCAAAGCAGGACTTAGAGAAAAACAGTTAGTTCTTCCCAGCCCCAGCTATAACTCCTCGTTCTGTTACAGATAAGCTTGGCAACTATGTCTGGTAATGAAGCCATTTTCACAAGATTCACAAGAAACAAAGCTTTTGTAACCTTGCTTGTCCACCCGCACCATTTTACATCACTAGAAAGACCCTCCCCTTACCAAACACATGAAACTGAAACTTTTCTGTTGTTTTGAGCTCGTCCTTTGCACCAGTCAGTTGAGCTGGTGTTCACCTATACCTTGAAATAAATCCTCCTGATTTGCATTAGTCTCTCCTGTCTCTTGAAATTCTGCAACCGAGGAGGAACCCGTGGATACACTAATACACATGTGCTGTTAACAGGCGGGGCAGAGACTGCGACAGCGGGGGACCAACTGAGACAGGATGGTCGGGGCAGGCCCGTGTGAGCTAGTGACAGAGATCCATATCAACTGAACTCTTCTTTCTTACGCCATGAAGACTGCTACATAGTTATTATGGCTAATTAAGATAACTAAAAGCATGCTTGTCACTGTTTGAAAAAGAAAATCAGCCAGGCATTGTGGCACAGGCCTGTAATCCCACCATCCTCGGAGGCTGAGGCAGAAAGACTGCGAAGTTCAAGTGCAACCTGGGCAACTTAGCAACTTAACAAGACCACCTGCTCCCTCCCACCAAAAAAAAGAAATCGCTGCGTAGGCCTTTGTCTTTGCAGGCCCTGCCCAAGGCTGCATGGCCCCAGACAGTTGTATCAGATCACAGTGAAACTGGACAAGTGACAAGGGCTGGCAGCCATGTCCCTGCCCCAGCGGGGACTTGTAGGGGGTGACCATGGCTGAAGCCAGCAGCATCCACTGGAGGCCATTTGGGCACAAGATGGGGGTGGCGTTGGGGGGGCAGCTTATGTCATTGATACAGCACACTCTGTGGAAGGTTCTAGAATCTCTTCCCATTGGCCGGTGTGGAAGCACATGGGGAAACATCGGTGAGTGACGGGGTGGAGGTCTTGTCTAAAGCCTGTGTGCTCAGCTGCCAGGCTGTCCCACATCCTGGTCCTTTCCTGTTCTCCTTCCATGCCTGACCTAAGGTTTGCAGTCCAGGGAGCAAGGGGGTAGTGACCTGCCTGACCCTGAAAGAGGCTGTTAGCACTCATTCTGTGGCTCAGCACAGAAATGTGGAGAACAACTTAAAAGGGTATGGAATGAGCATGGTGAACACCCCAGAGAGTGCTGGGACACTGAGAGCAAGCCCCCAGGGGAAGGCCAGCGAGGGGCCAGGCCAGACTCGGGGCTCTGGAGCTGGGCTTTCAGACAGCATGAGATGCAGGGCAGACACTTGTTAGAGCTTGCACAGCGCACACCACTCCCTAGGATCTGTCCACAGCCTTCCCACCCCAGGGTCCCACAGCCAGTGTGGAGCCCTAGGGCTCAAGGCTCCGCCATTTAGGATGCTAGGGTTCTGGGCCAGCAGGGCGCTGCCCTCTGCTGCACACAGAGGGCACAGCAGGGGACCCAGACCGGCACCCTGCAGTTCCTGACCATCTCCCGGCAGCTCTTCCAGATCTCAGGGTGGCTCCTCCAGTGCTCCTGGGTCACATGGAGGAAAATACTCACTGCAGCTTGATTCCAGCTTCTATTCTCACTCGAAAGCCAACTCTTCCCTTGGAGGATGGCCTGTCTCTACCAATGCTCGACCCAGATGCCTGGCTCAGCTGAGCCCCTTCTCCTGGCTCCCTCTTCTCTGGGCTGGTTCCTGTGGCCACTCTGGGCTCCTGACCTTGTCCCTTCTTCCCTGAATTAGCACCCCCGTGGAGCCTCCCCAACCCACAGCCCCAAATCCTTCCAGGCAGTCTAGGGCTGCCAGGATCTAGTTCAGAACTCACTGCAACCCTCTGCTGTCCCCAGGTGCTGCGCCCTCTCCTTCAGCCACCCTCTGTCCTTGGCCCTGGCTCACCCTCCCCTCCTGGCTGCCCATGTGCCAACTGCTCCACACAGTGACCCCTCCCTGCTGGACCAGAGGTAAAAGGACACGAGCAGGGACTCCGCACCGACAGCCTGGTCAGGACTGTTGCCAGGGACAAGTGTGTTTGGATAACTCAGGGATGGAATTCGCTCCTGGGTTTGTCCTTCTCATCCTGAAGTGGAATCCAGGCTGTGCCTCTCCTGACCTCCACTCTCAGTCCCAGCTGTGTCTCCAGCTGCCCCAGGCTGGAGGCTGCCAAGAATAGTATTTTGTCTCTTACACAAGTGTCCACTCGGGCCAGGGGGCCATGCTTCTCATTCTTCTTGGGTTCCTTTCTCTGGCTCAGGAAGTGGCTGCTTAGAGACACAGTGCTTAAATTAAACCATCCTCTATCAGCAACACACCACTTTTTCTGTTCCACACAGAAAGATCAACCATCTTAGAAAATAGAGTTTATTTTCATAGCCCTTGGCCCCCGCTATTGAGGAGTGAATGAACCAGGGCCTCCTCAGAGTGACATCCCCAGCCATTTTTTATTCTGAGACAGGGCCTTGTTGAATCACTCAGTTGCCCAAGCTGGGCTCAGGCTTTTGATCCTCCTGCCTCAGCCTCCCAGAGTGCTGGGATCACAGGTGTGCGCTATGAGGCCTGGATGTTATACTGGGTGATCACTGCAAACACGGAGCAATCTCAATGGTGTTAATCCGGAGGATGGTCTGGGGGTTCACGATGACTGAAAAAGAAAGAAAACACGGTCACAAGCTTCACCAGATCTGGTCCACTGTGACTACACTGCAGCGAGGGGTTGGACACCTGGCACTGCTAGCCATGTCCATAGAGGCTCTGCTTTGGCGCCAGCTTGCCCTGGGAGCACAGGTCCCTCTCAGACAGCGAGGTCCCCTCCAACGTCCCTTGTCCCATGTCACCAAGGTGTGCACTGCCTGCCCGGCTCGCTGGCTCCACAGGCAGCTCTGGAGTCTGGAAGGCCAGCAGCCTCCAGGCAAGGTGCCCACTCTGCCCATGTCCACTTAGTCCACTTTGATGAGCAGGAGCTCAGTGCTTACTCTGAAGCCACCTGGGAGCAGCAGGGAACAGGAGAGGCTCCTGCCCCTCAGTCTGAGCTGTTCCTTGTGGGGTCCATGTAATTACGCCCGCTGCTGGGGGCCCGGTTGGTGACAGCTGTTAGAGCCGAGAGCTGTGAGCGACACGCATCTCCAGAGACACGATTCTGCAGCTGTTCCCGTGCCCCAAGGTCCTGCCCGAGACACCCCTGCCTCGTGGTGACTGGTGTCTTACGGAGGCCTCCGCAAGGACAGCCCCCATCTGCTTGTGGATCACCTGCTCTGGAGGCCACGCCAATGTCTGTGATTGGAACATGGCAGAATGACATGTGGCGGTCAAGGACAGTGGGGAGAGTGAGGCCAGACCCATCCGGTGCTGCTTCCAGGGTGGGATGTGGAGAGAGGCCGTTTGCACAGCATTACCTCTCGAGGTGCTCTCTCAAGGGCTCGCACCACCACACAGAGGATCCCATGTGAGCCCGGGCCAGCCATTGACCTGGTTACTCGCTACTGACCTGCCAACAACCTGCCAAACCTTGGTCCTCCCTGAGCTGTCACTCCACCTTCGTCTGTGTGCCCAAGGAGACGTGCAATACCCAAGGACTCGGGCCTGCTCTGGGCATTGGTTGTTGCTCACTCTCACATCACCTGTGCTGGAACCAGCCCTGGGCCGGCTGCCAGTCCCAACTGTGGCCTGTCTGGTGGTGCTGCTTGTCCCCTCCCTCTAGGCCTGAACAGGTACCCAGGCGCCTCCAGCTGCACCCTCTCCGTGTGGCCCCCCTGGATGCTGTCGCCCTCAGGCCCCTCCCCAGACAGCCTGACAGGACTCCCAGCACTGGTCCCGTGGCCGCCTCAGCTTCCTCTCCCTCTAGCCTCTGATCAAAAGATCCCCCTAGGGTCAGGGATTTAGCTCAGTGGTGCCATCGCCTGCCTGGTAACCACAAGGGCCTGAGTTCGATCTCCAGTACCAAAAAAAAAAAGATACCCCTACTCAAAACCGAGCCAGTCCGGCAGCCAGTCCAGCACCCATGCCGGCCTTGGCTCACACCCTCCTGGCCACTTGTCCGTAAGCACCCTCAGAGGACGCTGTGCTTGGCTGCTTCCGCTCCACAACGGTGCACTTACTCTTAAAAGGTTTAATGCAGGCTGGGGATGTAGCTCAGTAGTACAGCACCTGCCTAGCAGGCACAAGACTCTGGGATGGACTACAGGAATGCAAGAAAAGAAAGTCTAATGTGACACTGGTAAGATAAAACAGTACATGGACTGCCTGTGACCTGACTGACTAGGAAATGAGGGCCCTGCCCTCCTCCACTGCCATCTGCCCGCCTTCTCAGCTTCTTCACCACTGCCCTGCAGAGGTCACCACAGCCAAGGATTCTGTGCTCGCTCTTCTTCCTTTAAAACACCTCCTATTACATATGGACATGCGCATGTGTGTTATGTGTGTGTGTGTGCGCAAGTGCGTGCCCAAGAACGAAAGTTTTGCTTATCGTTAAGCTTTATTTTTTCCTTTTTGCAGTACAGAGGATTGACCCGAGGATCCTCGCACTGAGATACATATTAGTCCTCTTTCATTTTTTGAGATACAGTCCCACTAAGTTGCCTAGGCTGGCCTCAAACTTGAGATTCTCCTTCCTCAGCCTTCCAGGTATCTAGGACTACAGGTATTTGCCACTCTTGGGGTTTGTGTCCCCCAAGCCTCCTGTACTTACAGCAGGGCTTTTGATAGGTGACTGAATCATGAGGGTGCTATACCTAAATGTGATGTCAGGTGTGGGGCCTGGTGGGTAGGGGTGACCTGGAAGGGTGTAGCTCCTTCCCTGGCTTCCTTAGCTCTCTACTTCTTGGCTGCCATGTGAGCAGCTTCCCTCCCCTACACTCCACTGCCATGTGGTCCTGTATTGGAGCCAGCAGACTACGGATGGCAACGGTGAGTAAGAAATAAACCTGTCCTCCTCAAAGCTGTGGGTGTCGGGTGGCAGTCCCAGCAACAAGGGGAGTGACTAAGACAGTTGCCATAGCTGGTTTTATCGCTGAACTTTCTAAAACACCACTGTCCTGTTGGAACCTCAGCAGGGCAGGGGCAGTTTCTCCTCTGCTCTGCTGGACACCACTGCACCTAAAGGACATCCCCACCCATGTCTCCAGGATAGACATGTGAATTACTTCCACTTTCCAGCATGGCCCGAGGGGCCACCGATGTGCCTCCGGCGTCTCTCAGTGCATGCTGCTGACTTGAGTCACAGCGCAGGTGAGTCCACGGTTACCATGGGGACTGGAAGTCTGGGAAGCGTGCTGTCCCAGAGACCCCACCCTGCACAACCCTGGCGCCCTCCCTTCTTTGTCCGGCCCCAGCGGCAGGACACTGGGCAACACCACTGAAGCACAGGACACAGAGCACACGGTCTCTCACTTACTTTTTTTCTTCCTGTAGTTTTTCTTCTTCTTAAATTGCATGTTGACTTTTGGCCACGATTCTGTCTTTTCAATGACTGTGGCTTCGACTCGAACAAGATCCTTTCTGGAAGGAAGAAAAATGAGTTTTCTTGATTACTTTCTAATTCTTTTTCTTTATTTTTCCAGTACTGGGGATTCAACGCTGGGCCTTTGGAATATTAGGCAAGCACTTTACCACTGAGCTACACCCTGACCCTATATTTCAGTTTTATTAATGCCTTACTAAAATTCCTATGAGAATTCGTAAAATGAAGTTTTACCTTTTCTTAATGATTATACAATACAAACAGGCCCTCACTGTAGACATTTTGAAAACTACAATAAGGAAGTACACGAACCGTTCTTTGTATAAAATTCTTCCAGGCTGTAGTGTAACGAATTAGTAGCAGGCCAACAGCTGGGCCTGGATGACTCCTCACAGGACATCAAGGACCCACTGTTGTAACACAGGAAACAACTGTGCTTGGTGCTGCTTGTGAGCCTGCACATCTGCCCTCCACCCACCCCAATGGCACTGGCTGCAGCCTGCACAATGAGCCCAGCCTAGTAATCCTGGCATCTAGCAGCGCATTACCCGAGGAGTGGCTTGCCAAGCAGCGTGAAGTTGTCCGCCCCAACCAGCAGGACCTGAAAAATTCACAAGGAGCATTTTGTCATCGACTCAGAGTAATATACAAGCCACCAAGGACAGGAGGCGATGTGGACACACCTCAAAACAAGGGAGTATACTTTACCTGAATGTGGAACACTGGTAAGGGCTTGATCTGCTATGTAAGGAATTATTTAGCATTGATGAGGTGGGGATTCGCGCCCATGGGAGATGGGGCTATCTTATGCAAATACCCCAGGCCCTTAGAGGAAGAGTAAGAATGATTTGATTACTGGATGCTATGGTTGTACATCTAGATAACTGTTAACTTATCTAAATTGTTCTTCATTAAAAAAAAAAACTTTTTTCATATTCAGGATTGAACTAGGATGTGTGCTAGGTGAGCACTCTACCACTGTTACAACCCTATTTTGTTTTTTAAAAAACTTATTAAAGCATAATATTCACAAAGAAAACGAGTAAGTCCTACTATGGGGTCTTTGGAAGCAGTTCACAAAAATGCTAATAGAGCAAAGATATAGATAGGTTCAACTGTATTTCTCTTTGTGGGGTGGGATTGTATTCGGAGCCTCCCTCATACTAGGAAGTGCTCTACCTTAGCCTTTCCTCTTAAAACATAATTTTAAGACAGGGTCCTGCTAAACTGCCCAGGCTGGCCTCAAACTTTCAATTCTCCTGCCTCAGCTTCCCACAGTTGGGACTACAGGCATGCACTACCATGTCCAGTAACTGTATTCATTCATTCATTTATTATTTGTTTTGTTTTTGGTACTGGGGGATCATTCTTTAGAGACAGGGTCTCACTATGTAGCCAGGCTGGTCTCAAACTTGCCACAATCCTCCTACCTCAGCCTGCCAAGTGCTAGGATTATAGGCGTGTGTCACTACGCTCACCTTATATTCTATTAATCACTGAATTCCATGCAAGCAGGCAAACATTCTCAGTGCAGAGGCAACTGCAACATTAAATTACTTCCACAGAACTTAGCAAGACCCTTTTGGGCAAAATAAAATAAAAAGGGCCAGCTGGGGTGCAGCCCAGGGGAGAGCGCTTGCTTAGCACATGTCAGTTCCTGAATTCCATCCTCAGAACTGCAAAGCAACAATAACAACAAAAAACAAAACGTAGCCACAGATGAAAACATCTTTGTACCATAAGTGCAATAATGTTTTCATCAGATGCTGGAAGGTTTTCTCACATTTTACCAGTAAGGAAAAAAACCCAGTCGTACTAAATTTAAATGTCTAAAGACAGAAGAACTTCAGTGAACAATGCATATTAGATGAGCGTAATTATTTGGTGGGGGCAGGGCTGGGGACAGGACCTAGGGCTTCATGCACACTAGGTTAAAAAAATATATATATGAATTAATTTGAGCACTAAATAGTCTACACTTCAAGATTTCCTAAGTTATGAAAAACAATCTAGGTGAAGCCTTCCACAATTTTTGGTTAATGTGAAATGTTTCAAAATACAGTATCCATGGGTTTGGGTTTGAGATGGAACCACAGATTCAATCAAGAGTAGAATGAAAGTATTTGGAAAAAAACCAAAAAAAAAAAAAAAAAAAAAACCCCAAAAACCTCTCAACCTTACTAAACACACACAGGCCTTTTATTCTCAGAACAGTATGGAATACTGACCACTTATACAGCACTTAGACATTAGGAGCTGTGAATCACTGAGCCCAGGAGGACGTGTGCAGGTGCTATGCAAACACTATGCCATCTTACAAGGGAACTGAGGGCATCCTGGGTCCCGGAACCAACCTCCTTTTAGATATGTACCGAGACGTGAACATAATGTCTTTTGAAAAATCTTCACACATTATGTCCCCATGATGAATATATTCATTATGTACAGCAAACATGTACAAATACAAAGTAAAAAAGTAAAAAAATATGCATCCTACTTATTTTGTTTGGTTTTTGGTGCTGGAGACCAGGGGCCTTGAGCATGCTAAGCACGTACTCTTCCACTGATCTATACTCCCAGCCCGAGGACATTCACTTCTTAAGGTCTAAAATAAGGACTGGGCATCATGGTACACACTTGTAATCTCAGCACACAGGAGGGCTGAGGCAGGAGGATTTCAAGTTTGAGGCCTTCCTGAGAAACACAGTAAGGGAGAGGAGCTCACTGGAGGGTGAATGTTTAGTATGCTCATGGCTCTGGGTTTGATCCCCAGCACCAAAAAAAGTTAGTTGTGTTGATGAGCTCACTACAGAGTCACTGAGTTTCACGGTCTAATCACAAAGGAAGGGTGATTTTAAATAAGAGAGAATCATATATATTTTATAATTAAATATGTCCTAGAAAAATTGCAGGGGTCATTACGATGTTATGAAGAGGCAAAAATCAAACCGATCTCTAAACACAGCATCAGAATTCTAAGTGAAGGCCAGGGCTGCTCAACTGACCTGGGAGACCAGTGGTGTTGTGTGACTGCTGAGGCACGAGCACCCTAGAAGAGCCCCACAGTTTAACAAGCAGCCATCAAATCTGATGACAGAGCAAGGTTTTACCAGAAACTTATCACTTTATCCCATGGGTGGGGTCTGAAAAACTCATTCCACCCTTGCGTGGAATTTTCCTATATTCATGATTAAACATTCTGCTATGGGAACTAAGTAATGTGGTATCTCAAGGCATAGCAATGCATGTGTTTTCATTCTCGGAGAAATGTGCTGTTTCCCTCAAAGGGGTCAATCCGTGGGGCTAGGTGCTGCCTGTGCTCCCCCCGCCTCAGCTGACCTGCCCAGCCAGGTGGCCTCCAATGCAGAGTTGGGAACACCACCTTGGTGATATACTGGGGAGTGGGGACAGCTAGTCTCTTAGTGGACAGAGACATGTGACAGCCTCACCTTCTCCAGCCGGATCCTCTCTCCACACTTGATATCTAATTCATTTTCAATTAAGATCAGGTCTTCGGAGGTCACTTTCCACTGGTGGCTGGCAAAGTGCACAACAGCAAAGAGCCGGCCGTACTGGCTGGTGGCGATCAGCTCGTTCACCTTCCTCACAACCTCTGTGAGGGAAGCAGGTGGCATTCACTCCAGCTGGAAAAGCACTGCCACTCACCCTGGCCCCCCAACCCCTCTCGGCTACAGGGCTCCAGTCTCAACTTGCCCACCCTGCAGCACACATGCCCTGCATGGGTCAGGCCATAATCTCAGGACACTGGCAGCTTGGCAGATGGCAGCCCCATCAGTCTTCACAGCAGACCCAAATTGCCTCTTGGGGCTTCCTGGCCTGGGTACTTAGCACACCTGGCTTCATTCTTACAGCTCCGAATGGGGAAGAGTCCCCCTCTTATCTGTGTTCATTACTAATAAGGAGACAGGGGCCTGGGGAGTGTGTAACCCTGAGAGACCTCGGTCCAGGCACACAGGAAGGACCTGACAGTTCCTGCCAGGAAACAGAATCAAGGACAGAAACTGCACTGGGCATCAGGGGCAGAACTCTCAAAACACATTTGGTTGCCGATGTTCTTGGATTCTATATCACAGGTCCAACCACTCTCAGATCGGATGTACCATCTTCGTGAAAAAACTGTGCTTGTACTGAATGTGTAACAGACTTTTTTATCATTAGCCTCTAAACAGTACAGGAGAACAACTATTTACATAGCATTTCCATTGTATTAGCAATCTAGAGATTATTTAAAGTATACAGAAGGATAAGCGTAGGCTATTGCAAATACTTTGCTTTTTAAAAACAATTTTTTTCTCTTTCTTTCTTTTTTTGCAGTGTTGGGATCGAACCCATGGGCTCACGCATGCTATGCGAGTGCTCTACAACTGATCTATCCCCAGTCCCTTTTTATTTTTTTAAGACAGGGTCTCACTAAGTTGCTCAGGCTGGGCTTGAACTTGGGATCTTCTTACCCCAGCCTCCTGAGTGGCTGGGTTACAGGTGTGCACCACCAAGCCCAGGTACTCTGCCATTTATATGACTTCAGCACCTGCTGATTTTGGTATCAGGAATTCCAGGACTCATCCCCAGTGGGTATTGAGGGGCAACTGTACATATCTGGAACAGTATTTTAAATACTAGAAGATCCTACTCCATGAGTCCCAGCTTTTTGGAAAGGTGGGGGTGTGGCTCTCCCACAAAGCAGCAGTGGCTGACCATGCTGCACCTCCTCCTCACACGGCTCCAGACTGCATGATTCCCAACATCGGAACATTTCTCCCGTGTCCATGGCAGGGCTGCTTCCTCCATGAGTAAGTTTCACTGCCCTCCTGACTGGGCAGAGCTCTGCCTCGAGCCAACACACCCAGTAATAGTGAGAGACAGAGACAGATTGAACCCCACCCACCCACCCTCATCACCTGCCTGCAACATGGCTGTGGCTCGAGGGCTCTGTTAAATGAATGAGCATCTTAAATTTTGGTGTTTACTAAAAAAGTGAGCACGGGGTCTTGCATGATGCTATACTGCAGAGCACCCAGGAACACCTAGTCCTCCTGTGTGTCGCCACCATGGTGGCTGGCGGCAGCAGGGTGCCAGATGCCTCCCTCTCATTGCCACTCCCTGAGAAGTCTTTACCTGTGTGGTGTCTGATCTCTTCAGCTGGGTCTGGCAGGACAACTTCTGGCCAAGGTGGAGAACTCAGGGATGTTTTAGGAACATATCTGTAAAAAACACATTTCATAAATACACATCACATGCATGTGAAAGATTGCTCAGAGTCCCCAAGACTAAGTATACTAAGTGTCAGTAGGGACAAGGATTTTAGTTCCAACTCAGGCCCTACACGTTCAACACACCTTCCAGGGATGCTGCCTCATAGCTGTCCTTCTCGCACACACAGCATGAGCCAGGGTGAGGGGGAACTCAGTGGTATGAGTGTGTGTGTGTGTGTGTGTGTGTGTGTGTGTGTGTGTGTGTGTGTAAGCTTGTTACTAAGAGGGTAAGAGGGTGAGGGGCTTGGGCAAAGCCGACACTGGCCTTTTACGACCTTGCTCTGCTTTGGTGTCATTTTGAAGACAGGTTCCCATGCGATGCCCTAGAACTACAGTGCATTCCAAAAAGAGTGGGCGACTGGCCACTAGTAATGGGAATTCTAAGCATTGTGTTCCACAGGGAAATGTGCCAACCTCCATGCCTGGGGCTGGGTCAACTGTGCTGCTCATTGGCATGCAGAAGTGCTCTGCCCACAGCTGCAAAATCAATGGACCTTTCCTACTCTGCTAGGTCTCAGAGCCTCTAGGAATGTCAACTGCTATCCAGCAGTGATCATGAGATGAGGAGCTGGAAAGAGTTGTCCTCTACAACTCTGTCCCACATATTGTATCTGTCTCCTTGACTGGGTGCAGCAAGGCCCAGATGAAGACCATGGAAAGAACACGGGAGAATGGTGCCTGGTGGGAAGGCTAGGGCCTCGCATGTAGGAAATTAGAAAAAGAGGACCCGTCTGATCTAAGGCCATTTGGTATTTCTTCCTATTTTCAGATTTGGGTTTTCAACTTCTCCTTTTTGAATCAAAGAGCTTTTTGTGTTCCCTGCTGCTCAGAATCTTGGTGTAGCCCACAACTTTTGCTGGAGCTATATACCAGGTGCTATATTGAACTCATTTACTTATTGTTTTTGCAGTGCTGGGGATTGAACCTAGGGCCTTGTGCCTGCTGGACAGGTGCCCTCCCACTGAACCACATGCTTGACCCTTATTCTAGGCCTTGGAATGTCTGCCTCTGCAGAAATCTCACTTCGTAGAGACAGGCACCTGTACTGCCTCACCTGGTAGGAGTTGAGCAAGGTCTTGTGCCTGGCTGGGTGTCCCTGGCTGTGGGAACCAGCACTGGGAGCTTCCTGCTGGCCTTTCTGCCCTGTGCTGCTCCTGCATCTTCCTACTACTGAGTGTGATTTTTTACTTTCTGTAGTTTATAAAAAAAGTTATTTTCTAGGTATGAAATCTTAACAATGAATATGCTTCTTCAAATTATACAAGTTTTCTCTAGAGATTCTTACAACTCAAGCTTCTTGGTCTGAAATTCTGAATTCAGACCTAAAGCTGTCTGTGATGAGAGCTAGCAATATAGGCCAGAACATCTTTCTCTCTAGATTCCTGCAGTTTTGTCTATACTTAAGGGTCTGAGAAAAATATTGTCAAAAAGTTGCAAAGAGAATTTAAACATTCTCAAACCCTCAAATATAGAGCCAGGAACAGTGATGTACACCTGTAATTCTAGCTACTCAGGAGCCTGAGGCAGGAGGACCACAAGTTTGTGGCCAACCTGGGCAACTTAAGAGAGAGACCCTGTCTCAAAATAAAATATCAAAAGGGCTGGAGATATAGCTTGGTGGTTTTCAGTGCCCCTGAGCTTGATTCCCAATACTGTAAAGCAAAATAGATCAAACAAAACTCAAATGTCAGAAGTTCTGAAGAAAGTTCTACAGATGAAAGGAAAAGAGTCACCAAACCCACATTTTGATATTACCCTGGTTGAAATGAAGTGCTCTGTGAACTGAACCTTTGAGCAACAGACCAGAGGGAGGCTGAGGAAACAAAAGAAATACAGTCATTACTACCACAAAATGCAGACTGTCACTCATGATGCTGATATGCAAGGTCTTCTACGCAGCTTTAAAAAATCCAGGCAAACAGAACTAAAAGAACTTCACTTAGAGTCACTGGTTGTGTATGTCAGGATTGTGCACACAGCATCCGCCAGTGTCTACAGCCAGAACCAACCCCACGCACCCCTTCCATAACCACCAAGCACACAGTAGGTCCAGATCCTGCTAGTGGTGCCCAAGTGTGGGCGCAGCCTAAAAGGTGACTCAGCCATGAGCTGTCCCTGCTAGGAGCTGGTCTCTGTGACCAACAGCTTGTGGCAGAAAGCTTCCAAGACTAGGTTCTGAAAGACCTCAACTTCCATCCTGGCTGCAATTTCCTCTAATCTAGTTCTAGGTGCTAACATGCTACAAACAGCCCTGTGCAAAGGCCCATATGGTAAGGAACTGGGCTGTGACCAGCACTCAGGCATGACCTTTTAAATTGGTTCTCAGGCCTCATGGAGCCTTGAGGTTACTAAAGCCCCAGCTGACTTGCCCCACTGCAATCTAATGAGGGAAATGAGCCAGAAGCATCCAGCTCGCTGCTCAACCCTCAGAAACCATGTGTGCTAAGAAATGGTTGTTGTCTTAATCTGCTAAATTTTGAGGTAATCTGTTATGTAGCAGTAAATAACACACCAAACAGATAAAACAGTCCCCATTCTACTGAGAAGGGCCCAGAGATAAAATGCATAGCACACAGGTGAAAAAAGCAGAAAGGAGATTTCTCAATAATTGCTGTTTTTGTTTTGTTTTGTTTTGTTTTTTTAAGTTGAGCTGTAAATTCTGCATTGGGAAATTCATTGTTTTAAAGTTCAATCATTAGCAGCTGGTCCCCATTCTAAGCCTCAGAAGCTGGTTTCTCCTTTCCTTCTCCAAAGCCTCTGACTTGGACCTTGGGCTTCACTCCTTCTCCATCTCTGGTGATTCCTCTGGTGATTGCATTATATGTTGGTGACTCCCAAGTTTATACTCCAGCCGGGACTCCATTCCTGGGCCTCCCAACCACCTATGTGCCACTGCTACCTGGTAGGTATGGCAAACCAAATGCCTAGATCCCTTCCACATATGCCCTCCCCGTGCTTCTCCCCACTGCATATGATGCTAAATCAGATTACCAGCAGCTCAGGTCCCAAACTGCCATCATTTATGATCATTCGTTCTCATATCCCTATGGAAACTCATCAGCAAATCTTATGGCTCTCCCTTCAAGGAGCCCAGGAACTAACCACTTACTGATTTAAGAGAGGCCATCACTTTCTCTCGCCTGAATTATGACAAATGCCCTGCTCTCATCTCCCTTCTCCACACAGGATTCTGTTGGAACGTAGGTCAGATCATGTCACTGAAACTACGCGGGAACCACTTCACTCAGTGAAAACACAATCCTTACAGTGGCCTACAAGTGACCCCATACAGGTGAGAGTTAAGGGAAGCAGATCCGGTGCAGAAATGCGCTAAGCTTTCAACAGTGGAACACTGAGGTCCTGGTCACCGGAGTGTTTCAACAGAGGCTTTAGCAAAATTTCTTTCATTCAAAATTCATTAAGCACCTGCTACGTATTAAACACCAGCCTAGTGAGAATATACCAGTCATAAATAAAAAAACAAAAATCCCGCTTTTAGTGGTCCTAACGTTTTGATGGTCTGACCTAAACACACACGTGGCGGGAAGAACCGCTCTTCTCGCTTTTTTCTTTCCTCGGCCGCCCTGGTCTCACCTGAGCCTGACCCCGATGGTGTCAAGATGCTGCGGCTACACGCACACACCAGCCGCCCCAAGGAGCCCCACAGGGCCGGAGCTACCACGGCCGTCGCCATCTTCCCGTAGCCGGAAGCGGAAGTGGCACGAACCTTGTGCACTGACACACGGGCCCGACGCAGAGCGCGAGTGCAGCGGGAAGCACTGGTCCGCCGGGGACTCCGGCCAGCGCTGAAGCGGGCACTGGACGGCGGCTGCGATGGCTTCGGCCTCTGTGGAGACTTTCGTGACCAAGCAGTTATACCTGCTGGAGCTCGAGAGGGACGCGGAGGTGGAGGAGCGCAGGTATGGGCTGCCGCGGGAGCCCTCTCAGAGTCCGTCTCTCCGAGGGGCGTCCGCTCCCCAGCCATGCTGCATGGTCACCTGCAAGGATACAGCTCAGCGCCTTCGGGCAGCCAGTTCTGGCGGGGCCAAGAAGCCTCTTCCTTGACCCGAAACCCTGCTCTCGAAAGTGCTCCCCTGGGTGTTGGGCTTTCCCAGCCCGGGCCACGTAGTGTTCAGGTCGTTTCCTTCAGTCGCCCGCTCCGCAAACGTCGCTTTTGCCAGCTCCTTGCCAGACCCCAGCAAGATGAGGAAAGTGCAGGGTCTGCCATTGAGAAGGTCGAATGGAGGCCGGGGCTGAGCCGAGAGGGTGCTGGTCGTCGGCACCGGTGCCAGCTGCGGGGGGTGCGGGGGAGAACTTGTTCCTGGGGGCAGTCGGGAGGGCTTCCTGGAGCAGGTGGTGCCTGAGCACAGACTGGAGAAAGGTAGACTGTTCATGAAGAATAGATGGGCCAGGACCAGCCAGAGAAGAGCCTTGTTGAGGAGCTTGCTTTGTATTCTGTGTTCAACAAGGTTAAGCAGTGAGGGAGGGGACTAGATTGGCATTTTAGCAGGACCTCTTGACTGCTGTTGCTGGCAGCTGGATGGGGGCGGGGCCAGAGGTAAGGCAGTTAGGAGGCTGTGTGGACAGTAATGTGGCCTTGAACTGGAGCTAGGGTGTCCAGGATGAGAGGCATAGAGTCAGGGTCTAAGGGGCTTGTTAGGACTTAGTGACAGATGGGAATTAGGACTCAGAGTGAAAGCAGGGAAATTTAGGGTGTGATGGTCCTGTCCTTGTAACCTGGAGAAAGGTCAGCAGTAACTTCCCTAGAGGTATAGGGGGAGCATGTTAGGAAATTTTGAGTTCTGTTCTCTTGGGGCATGTTTGGCACACAAATCTTCATCTTTCTTTCCCAGTTGCCTTTCCTGTGTGGGTGGAAATAGAAACAGGAAGGTAAAAATCCTGAAGCAGTCCTGGGTGTCTTCCAGGTCCTGGCAGGAGAACATCTCTCTGAAGGAGCTGCAGAGCCGGGGCGTGTGTTTGCTGAAGCTGCAAGTGTCCAGCCAGCGCACAGGGCTATATGGACGGCTGTTGGTCACCTTTGAGCCCAGGAGATGCGGGTCTGTGGCAGTGCTTCCCAGTAACAGCTTCACTTCCGGTGTGTGCATTTTCGACAGTCATACATTGGCCATTGCTGGCTCCAAACTGTGGGTTGTGCTCTCCTAAAGACTGGATAGCAGGCCCATCAGGAAAGTAAAGCATTGCAGTGAAGAACTCTTCCTAAGAAGTCCAGTAATATATGGAGCCATTTGGTTGTTCAGATCAGAACTGTCCAAATGGGGGCCACTAGCTGTGTGGAGCTGTAGAACACTTGGCACACAGCCAGCAGTGGCTGCAGGCATAAAATACATACCTGATCGTGAAGATTTAGTTAAACAGTTGGTAGTATCTCAAGTGTAATTTTTTCCCCTGATTTTGCAGTGTTGGAAGTTAAACCCAGGGCTCAGATGGTAGCCATGTGCACTAGTGCTGAGCTACATCCCAAGTTCTTTCTTTTTTTCTTTATTTGGTACCAGGAATCAAACTCGGGGCCTTGTGCTTGCCAATAGGTGCTGTGTCGCTGAGCTACATCCCCGGCCCTTTATTTATTTGTTTGTTTTGAAACAGGGTCTTGCTAAAATTGCCTGAGTTTGAACTTATGGTTTTCCTGCCTCAGCCTCCTGAGTAGCTGAGATTTTGGTCTAGGCAACCATCCTCAGCTCAAGAATAATTTTTTGAATACTGTTGAAATAATATTTTTCATGTATTGCATGTTGCATTAAGTAAAATTATTATTTTTAAAAGAATTTGCCTGGTTCTTTTAACTTTTTGAATATGGTTCCCAGAAAATTTAAAATCACAGACAGCTCTCATTGAATTTCTATATAACTAAAAGACTGAACACACTGTATGTGCAGTTCTGGATCCCAAACATTTCTTTGTTGAACATACTTTGTCTAAGCTCATGTCTGCCCTGTCAGAAAGAAAGGCTGTGTGTGTGTGCGTGCGTGTGCATGCAAGCATGTGTGGTGTTGGGGATGGAACCCAGGTCCTTGAACATGCTGGGCAAGCACTCTGCCACTGAGTTACATCCCCAAGAAGCAGCTTCTTGACCATACACCCGGGATGCTGTGTAGATGCCTCAGCCCTAGAAATCTAGAGAAGTAAGTGTTGTCCTTTTCACTATCAAAGTCTCTGCCTTGCTTTTGTAGCAACAGTTTTTGAGTTCTTATTTTGGTTAATAGATTCTTGCCAGCAACTGTGGGGATCCTGGGCTGGAGTTGGAGAAGATGGGGTGGGGGAGTGAACTAATGAGGGGAACCTGCTGGCCGAGGTTGGATCTGAGCACAATTTGGGCTCTGGGCTCTTAGCCCTGCTTGTCCTGGGGGCTAGAGTCAGTCCCCCCTCTCCTAATGAAGTGGCAACTTCCTGTTTATTTGTTATGGCTTGTATTTGCTAATCCAAGAGGACAGAAAGCCCACCAGGAGCCATGGAGACAGCGAAAGTAAGCTTTAATTACTGCTGGTGGACCAGCACTCAGCAAAGGAGGATATACTCTGGGAGGGGCCGGGTTACAGATAAGGCACATCTGACACACATTTATTGGTTACAGGGTTTGAATATTTGTTAGCAGGTGGGGTCAGCTGCATCCAGGCATGTGAGGCAGGACAGACCCTGGCATGTTGAGAGGAAATTTCAAGTAGGGAATTTCCCTGTAGTAAGTTCAACTTAAACCATGGAGACAAAATTCCCCTTTCACTGAGACTGGGAGGAGTAGCAGCTGTGGCATCACCAGGATGAGTCTGCAGGAAGCGGGCACATTCTGAAAATGCAAAGGTGAAGTTACACATCCATGTAGTTAGTTAGCATGGTGCAGTGGCTGACCCACAGGGTCAACAAGTGGTGGATAAACGGGAAATCGGGAGGTAGCCTTGGCGTTGGTGGGAAGGCAGCAAGCTGAAAAAAAAATTTTTTTTTGCATCGAACTCAGGTCCTTTTGCTTGCAAGGCAGGCAGCGGCATCCTGGCCCAAGCTGAAAATATTGATTCATTCAGACAGCACGGTTATTGTCCCATCTTCTGGGAGCAGTTTTAAGTCTCAGCAGCTCAGACAGATAAGTCCTGAGATGCTGTGTGTTTCTGTGTTCGCATTTGTATGTACACAGTCCTGTGCAGGGCAGTATGGGAAACTTGTGTGGGAGCCTCTGCTCAGCCCCTGGGACCATAGTTGTCATCTACCGTTGGTCTTTGTGAAGTTGAAGATGTAGATGGGGAAGAGCCAAGGTGCAGGTGAAACTTGCTGCGTGGATTGCAGGGCTGAATGGGGTGTAAACAGAGGTGGGCAGCCCTGGCTTTTATTGCAGTGTGGTTCCTGAGTCAGATGGCAGGAAGGGGATGAGCTGGTGGCTGTAATGTGAAGACTGGCTGCATGGCCCCAAGGAGGATGCCAGGGCTTAGTGTCTGGCCTTTCTGTGGCTCTGCCATTTGGGTGCATTTCCTCTCAGACACAGCGTGGGAGTAGTGTTGGTCTGCTCCCTCTCAGCTTTCTGTAGCTGAGAGGTGAGACGCCTGGGTGAAGTCTCATTGCATCCCAGGCTCTGTTTTGGCTCCTCCCTAAACCCACACTGTGGCCAGGGCCTGGGAAACATGGGTTGGTCGAGGTGTGATCAGGGAAAGCCCTCCATACTTCCTTGGTGGAGGGTGACAGTGTCATTGTCATAGGCAGAAGGGAAAGAATGCTGTGTGGGCAGTGAACAGCGCTTGCCCCTCTGTAAGGATGTCCCATTGCTGCCTGGAGTGTTTTCCCCTTGGGCTTCTGGCCTTGTTTCTACCCTGATGCCCCCATTCCCAGGGAACCCTTCTCCCTCGAGCTTTGTAGAGTGGTGTGCTGTCCCGCTCCAGCCCCTTCCTCTGTCCCATTGCTCCTTAGAGCACTTAGCACTGAGCTCTGGCAGATGGTGACATTTGTTGCTTCTCTCCTTCCTAATCTCAGGGCCAGGATAGGTTTTATTCATGATGTATAGCGCATTGACTGTCTTGCTTGGTTTGAACTGTTCATTGACCTCAGGTGGATTTGCACATGTGATTTAGTGGTCACCATTTCGTTTTTACAGCTACCGATTTCATTTGTTATGGGAACTATCAAGATGGGTTGGGGACATAGTTCACCGGTAGAGCACTTGCTTAGCACATGTGAAGCCCTGGGTTTGGTCCTCAGCACTGCAAAAAAAAAAAAAAAAAAAAAAAAAAATCTAGAATTAGTAGATTCTATGCAACTGAATTTTGGGTTTTGCAGGTGATATCGTGGGTCTGTATGATGCTGCTAATGAAGGCGGGCAGCTGGCGACCGGGATCCTGACCCGTATCACCCAGAAATCCGTCTCAGTGGCCTTTGATGAATCCCATGACTTCCAGTTGACACTGGACCGGGAGAATCTGTACAGACTGTTAAAACTTGCCAATGATGTCACTTACAAGCGCCTGAAGAAGTGAGTGTGTGTGGCTGTAATCAGACAGGACATTTTCTTTAAATATGACCCCCTTGCTCCCACTGTGAGAGAGCGACACCTCTCTTGCTCACCGACAGAGCCAGCATTCATTCGGTTACGGATTGTTGTGCGCCCCGGTGAGATGGTGACCCTGAACTGCTGACTGCCGGCTCCTTACTTTGGCTCTCTCTCCTCACAGAGCCCTGGTTGCTCTAAAGAAGTATCATTCCGGGCCTGCATCTCCACTCATCAAGGTCCTCTTCAGCGGATCTGCCCCCAGTCCTGTCCAGAAAATACGTGAGAACTTTTAGGTTTTGATTCTTTTAAAACTGAAATTGCTGTGGAAATTATCAAGGACAATGTGACGTTGAGTCGTTTCAGCACGAGTTTGAAGATGTACAGGTAGAATGCCGCCATAGTGCCTGTGGATACAATCAGTCTGCATGATTGTATGACCTGGGTGCCTTCCCTGGGCTGATACTGGAGAAGCAGCTCATCCCACTGAGTTTTCAAACAGTGTTCTTGCTGACATCTAAATTTTAAAATTTGAAACATAAGACTCAGTCTTCTTTAAATTTACGATAATTTATTTTTGATTATGATAGTAATATGTGATGATATAGAAGATTTAGAATAAAAGACAAATAAGAACAGGGAAAATGATGCCAGGCTTGGTAGCGCATGCCTGTAATCACAGCACTCGGGAGGCTGAGGCAGGAGGATCGCTGTGAGTTCAAGACCAGCCTGGGCTACATAGTGAGTTCCAGGTCAGTCTCAACTATACAGTGAGACCCTGTCTCAAA